TGGCGCCTGGTGTTTACCCAGAAATTGCACTAATCCTGCTAATTCCTATGATTTACACAGCCTCTTGGGTCTGTCTGCTGCCTTCTTCCCCTGGGAGGGGAGGGGAAGGGAGGGGAGGGCAATGACTGATCTGTAGAATATGAGGCCTGTGGCGTGGGGGCATTGCAGGGGCCTTCCCTGGCTGGGTCAGCTCCCCTCAGGCCTTCATGGAACCCCAGGTGCTTCCGTGTGCACATCTGTTCCTGGGCTGCAGAAAGCAATCTGGGTAGTGGGAATCTGAATAAATACCCTTCCTCACCATACTCTGTTTACCTGGTCCACTGGTGGCCTTGCCTTGAGAATTCGGAGTAGTAGTATGGCCAAGGACCTGGCCCTAGACCTAGCATTTCCCTCTGTGGAAAGTGGCCTCAGGCAGCTCACTTCCTCTTCTATAAGAATCCTCTCTAAGGGATGCTGACATCACTCTGACAGCACAACAGGGCAGGGTGGCGATGTCGGCATGAGGGAGCTGCAGCTGTATTCCCCAGGAACACCCACAGCCTTTTTTCACTCTTCTTTCCAGTCTCGTCTTGTCCCTTAACAGAAATTGACACAGTCCCTTCCTGAGCATCTTTCTTTCCTTAGTATCCCTAATGCTAAAGTCTTAGGGTTCTGAATTGTTGGCCTCAGTTTCCTTATCTGCATTTGAGGACACCTCCCAGGAGTCTGGGTTTGGTCACACGTGCCGACCCTGTGGGGGTGCCTTGAGTCCTCTGCTGGTTTCTCATCCATTGAGCCCCATGCCCTCCAAATGCAGGCTGGTTCCCTGTGCCACCTCATCCCATCAGCAGGGGGCCTGAGCACCTTCTCAGCTGGGCCTGGGGACCCAGGATTGCATGGCTCAGCCCTCCCTGGAAGGGTCCCAGTTGAGCAGGGAGCCAGATGGGTGCATAGCAGGTTATGACCAAGCTGTGCAAGAGGTGCCATGATGGTGGGGGCGGGTCCAAACTCAGGGTAAAGACACCCCATTCATTTGGGGGCGGGTGTGGAGCCTACCCAGCTCCCAGCCTAGTGCAATGTGAGGCATGAAGCTGCTTGTCTGTAAAGAATTAAGGAATAAAAGTGAATGAATGTATAACTGCACGCTCCTCCCCTGCCCAACCCCGATAAGCCTCAGCAGACAGATGCCACCTGCAGGGCCATGGTGCTTGTAAGCAGCCCCAGACAGAGCTTCAGCTTTGTCTACATCCACCAATCTCACTGCCTTGGGTATGGCACTAGGACAAGGCCATACCGAATCCTGCTTCTGGGGCTTCCTGGGCCCCTGGCACAGTGTACCCCATAAATGAAGAGTCCAACACTCAATTACTTCAATGCCTACCAGGGGATTCTGGGGCAAGTCCCTTTGTACTGCAGGATCCTCACTAGAGGGACAGCTCACTCTGATGCTCCAGGTTACACATTTGGGGCCAGACAGCCTGAGTTCAAGGCCTGAGTATCTTTGGGCAAGTTACTCAGCCTCTCTGAGCATTGATATCTTCCTCTAGAAAATATTGTGAGGATTAAATGATATCACATTGGTAAAGTATTTGGCACCTGGTAAACGCTTATTAAAGTTTTGTTGTTCCAGCTGATATTTTGATTTTTGTTTTTACTCGTAAATTCAAGGTGTGTTTCAAAGTTAGGCCTAAATTCTTTCACCTGAGCTCTTGGGAGGAAAACTCAGGCTGTTCACAAAATCACTTGTATTTCTAAGAGCTGTGATGTCCTGCCACAAAGGTCCTCTTGTAGCTCTCTTTGACAGGCA